TGTATCTTGTTTCAGTTATGTGAATCCTTCTGTTATAATTGAGTTTTGATTGTTGTTGGTCCATTTTTAGATGAGGTTTCTCCTCTACCTATCAATGAAAATTGACCCTATCGTGTATAAATTCTTATGTAGGGGGTTGACACCACAAATCTGAATTTACCCCAATTGTGTCTGATGCCTGCTGATTTCTCCCTTTGGGTGTGCATCTTGTGACGCTAATTGAGTCATGCTCTGTTGTGGTTTAATCCAGTCACTGCATATGTTGGTTCTGGGGCCACTTAGGAGGGACTCTTTATGGTCAATGTCAGTTATAGCCTGTGAATGGTCCTCGCTATTTCTTTGGATTTACATAGTGATTCACAGTTTGTAGCTGCCTCTGCTAGACCTGGGTGTGCATGGGAGGGGACTGGCTGTGCACCAAGGCTGTTTTCCACTGACACCAGAGGTAGGTTAGCAAAGGATCCCAGGCTAGCTGCCTACTAGCTGCCTATTAAGCCCAGCCACTGAAAGAGTCTCTGGAGATACAGGGAGGGCAGTTGGGGTGAATATATAATATATATATATATATATATATATATATATATATATATATATATATATATATATGTATGAGGCCCGGTGCATGAATTTGTGCATGGGTGGGGGGTGGGGAAAACCAGCCAGCCTGGCCAGGAGGAGGGGACATGGGTGGTAGGCTGGCCTGTCCACTGGTCAAACTCCTGGTTGAGGGGACAATTTGCATATTAGCTTTTTATTATATAGGATATACACTGAGTGGCCAGATTATTATGTATTCATAGATCATAATAATCTGGCCACTCAGCGTATGTTTTTATTGAACTGTCTGTTCAAATTATTTTATCATTTTTTAATTAGATTTTTTTTCTTATTGTTGAGTTTAAGGGTTCTTAGTATCTTTGTTTACAAATTATTTATCAGATATATGTTTGGCAAGTATTTTCTCCTATGGTGTAATTTGTCTTTCTATTCTTTAATAACTAGAGGCCTGGTGCACAAAATTTATGCAGTGGGGGGTGCCTCTCAGCCCAGCCTGCACCCTTTTCAATCTGGGACCCCTTGAGGGATGTCCAACTGCCCATTTAAACCTGATCCTGGTGGAATCAAGCAGTCAGACATCCCTCTCACAATCCAGGACTGCTGGCTCCCAATTGCTAGCCTGCCTGCCTGCCTGATTGCCCCTAATCCCTTTGGCCTGCCAACCTGATCATTTCCTAACCACTCCCATGTCAGCCTGATTAATGTCTAACTGCTCCCCTGCCAGCCTGTTTATCCTTAACTTTCCTCCTCTGCTGACCTGGTCACCCCCAACTGCCCTCCCTTGCAGGTCTGGTCCCTCCCAACTGCCCTTCCCTGTTGGCCATCTTGTGATGGCCATCTTGTGTACACGTGGAGGCAGCCATCTTGTGTGTTGGAGTGATGGTCAATCTGCATATTACTCTTTTATTAGATAGGATAGAGGCCTGGTGCACGGGTGGGGCCGGCTGGTTTGCCCTGAGGGTGTCCCAGTCAGGGTGGGGGTTCCTTTGTGGCATGAGGCGGCCTGGGCGAGGGGCCTGTGGTGGTTTTCAGGCCAACCACGCTCCCTGGCAATCCAAGTGGAGGCCCTGGTATCTGGGATTTATTTATCTTTTACAATTAAAACTTTGTAGCCTGGAGTGGAGCCAAGCCTTCTGCTCACTTTATGGCGGTAGTCATTTCTGCTGGAATTTATTTATCTTCTATAATTGAAACTTTATGCAGGGGTCTTCAAACTACGGCCCGCGGGCCACATGCGGCCCGCAGAGGAGTCTGATCCAGCCCGCCAGGTTTTTTGGGCAGTGAGCGCAGCCGAGGTGTTACAGTAGGAATTAGTAGTTCATATAGTCCGGCCCTCCAGCTCTCTGAGGGACCGTGATCTGGCCCCCACTTTAAAAAGTTTGAGGACGCCTGCTTTATAGCCTTAAGCAGAGGCCTGCGCTGGCCAGGGTGTGCAAAAAGCTTGGTTTCCTCTATCACCGGAGAAACCCAAGCCTCTCTCCTGCTCTCTCTGTGGCCACAGCCATCTTGGTTGGGTTAATTTGCATAATTGCTCCTCATTGGCTGATGAGTGTGGCTTGTGGGCATGGCTTGAGGGTGTAGCAGAGTGATGGTTAATTTGCATATTACTCTTTAATTAGATAGGATATCTTTTGCAGAGTAGAAGTTTTTCAACTTCATACAATCCAGTTTATTAATATTTTTTTTTTTATAGGTCGGACTTTTGGTGTTATATCAATGAATCCATTGTCAAATGCCAAGTCATATAGATTTTTCTCCTATTATTTATTCTAGATGTTTTATTTTTCTTTTACCATGTTTTCTATAATACATTTTTAATTAGTATTGTGAAAGGTGTAATAGCTGGTCTGGGGTTTTTATATATTTACTAGAGGCCCTGTGCACAAGTTTATGCACCAGTGGGGTCCCTCAGCCTGGCCTGTGGGATCAGGACAAAACCAGCTTTCCAACACCCGCCAAGGGTTACCAGATTACAAGAGGGTGCAGGCCAGGCTAAGAGACCCTACCTGTGCATGATTGAGGCCAGGGAGGAACGCAGGAGTTTGGCCAGCCAGGGAGGGAACACAGGAGAAATCCAGAACATATCTGGCCCATCATGCTCAGTCCCAATGGGCCAGATCCCAACAGCTAACTAACCTACCAGTCAGAGCATCTTCCCCCTAGTGGTCAGTGCATGTCATAGTGAGCAGTTGAGCATCCTTAGCATGTCATTAGCATATTATGCTTTGATTGGTTGAACAGATGCCCAGGCAACCAGGCACTTAGCATATTAGGTTTTTATTATATAGGATTTTTTGCACAATTGTTGCAGCACCATTTATTGAAGATACTACCTTTTTAATTTTTTTATTTTATTGATTTTTTTACAGAGAGGAAGGAAGAGGGATAGAGAGTTAGAAACATTGATGAGAGACAACAAACGAAAGAAATGGAGGACAAAAAGCGTCTGGATATAGAGTTCAAATCTACGCTTATAAGGTTTTTCAAGAATTTCCTAGAAAAGATGGATAAGGCCTATGAGGATATGAAAAGAGATCAACTAGAATTAATAAGGGATCAACAAGACATAAAGAATACATTGTCTGAAATAAAAAATATTTTACAGAGTCCTAAAAACAGAAGGGAAGATCACAAGAATCAAGTCAAAGATTTGGAACATAAAGAGCCAGAAGACACTCCTCCACAGAAGCTAGAAGGCAAGAGAATCCAGAAAATTGAAGATAATGTAAGAAACCTCTGGGACAACTTCAAGCGAACCAACATCAGAATTATTGGGGTCCCAGAAGATGAGAGAGGGCAAGATATCGAAAACATACTGAAAGAAATAGTGACAGAAAACTTCCCCCACCTGGGGAAAGAATTAGACTTACAAGTCCAGGAAGCGCATAGAACTCCAAACAAAAGGAATCCAAAGAGGACCACACCGAGACACATCATTATTAAAATTCCAAGAGCAAAAGACAAAGAGAGAATATTAAAAGAAGCAAGAGCAAAGAAGGTAGTAATCTATAAAGGAGCACCTATACGATTGTCAGCTGACTTCTCAACAGAAACCATGCAGGCCAGAAGGGAATGGCAAGAAATATTCAAGGTGATGAATAGCAAGAACCTACAGCCAAAGATAATCTATCCAGCAAAGCTATCACTCAGAATCGAAGGCCAGATAAAGAGCTTCACTAATAAAAAAAAGCTAAAGGAGTTCATCACCGCCAAACCAGATTTATATGAATTGCTGAAGGGGGTTCTTTCAGAAGATAAAGTAAACAAAGATAAAAATTATGAACAACAAATACGTAACTATCAACAAGTGAATCTAAAAACCAAGGAAATTAAAAAAATCTGATGAACAATATTAACTGTTGAACATAATAGAATCAGAGGTATGGAAGGGGAGTGAACTGACAATTCTTGGGGAAAAGGGGAGAGGGGGGCGTGGGAAGAGACTGAACATAAACTGTGCACATATGGATGAGGACAATGGGGAGAGGGGAAAGGGCAGAGGGTGGGGTGGGAACCTGGTGGAGGAGAGCAATGGTGGGGGGGGGGGGGGAAGGAACATTTGTAATAATATGAACAATAAAAACTTATAAAAAAAAAAAAATTATGAACAACAAATACGTAACTATCAACAAGTGAATCTAAAAACCAAGGAAATTAAAAAAATCTGAGGAACAATATTAACTGTTGAATATAATAGAATCAGAGGTATGGAAGGGGAGTGAACTGACGATTCTTGGGGAAAAGGGGAGAGGGGGATGTGGGAAGAGACTGAACATAAACTGTGCACCTATGGATGAGGACAATGGGGAGGGGGAAAGGGCAGAGGGTGGGGTGGGAACCTGGTGGAGGAGAGCAATGGTGGGGGGGGGGGTAAAGGAACATTTGTAATAATATGAACAATAAAAACTTATTTAAAAAAATAAATAAATAAAATAAAATAAAAAAAAAAAAAAAAAAAAAAAAAAAAAAGAAACATTGATGAGAGAGAAACATCAGCTAGCTGCCTCTTACACACCCCCTACTGGGCATGTGCCTGCAACCAATGTACATGCCCTTGATCAGAATCAAACCTGGGACCTTTCAGTCCGCAGGCCGATGCTCTATCCCCTGAGCCAAACTGGTTTTGGCAGAAAATATTACCCTTGAATGATTTTTCTTTGTCTTCTTCCCAAAGATCTGGTGACTTTATCTTTTGATTAAGAGGTTATATCAAGAAACACAAATTATTGTTTTTGTATATTGTAGGTTTATTGATAATGTATAAAGACAGTGTTTTTTAAGTATTTAGAGAATTTTCTTGAGCATTGATTAGCACAAAATGATAACGAGGAACAGAAAGAGGTATTTATAAAGAAATGAAATAAATCAATGGCATATCTCAATCTCTACACTTTTAGGTAATAACTAGGTACATGGAACAAAAATGGTTTGATCTGAAAAAGCCCTCATTCACTACTGGTGAGAATGTAAATTAGTATAGCAACTGTGGAAAACAGTATGGAGTTTCCTCAAAAATTAAGAGTAGAGTTAACATGTGACCCAGAAACCCCTCTTTGGGTATCTATACAAAGAAATGAAAACATTTTTACAAAGATACATGCACCTTTATGTTCATTGCAGTATTATTCACATGGAAAGAACCAAAGTATCCTTTTCTAGATGATTGGATAAAGAAGAAGTGTTACAAATATACATGAAACACTACTCAGTCAGAAGGAAAGATGAAATACTACTATTTGCGGCAATGATTGGATCTTGACACTACAATGCTAAGCAAAATAAGTCATATGAAATAAGTTAAAAACCATATCACTTGGACAGATACATGCAAAAAAGGATGAAACTAGACCATCAAATTACACCATACACAAAAATAAACTCAAAATGGATAAAGGACTAAACATAAGACAGGATACCATGAAAATCTTGGAAGAATCCGTAGGCTGCAAATATCAGACATATGTCATAGAAATATCTTTACCAATACAACTCTTAGAACAATGGAAACTAAGGAGAAAATAAACAAATAGGACTACATCAAAATAAAAAGCTTCTGAACAGCAAAAAAAAAATAAAAAAAAATAACAAGAAAGTCCACTTCATGGGAGAACATATTTGCCAATGTTATATCTGGGCTTAATCTCCAAAATTCATAGGGAACTCATACATCTTAAAAAAAGGAAGATAAATGATCCTATCAAAAAATGGTTAAAGGACCTAAATAGACACTTTTCAAAAGTGAAGATACAGAAGGCCAAGAGACATATGAAAACTTTGTCAAAGTCACTAAACATCTGAGAGATGCAAATCAAAATGACAACAAGATACCATCTCTCACCTTTCAGAATAGCTATCATCAACAAATCAACAAATGACAAATACTGGTGAGGATGTGGAGAAAAAAGAAGCCTTGTGGGAATACAGACTGGGGCAGCCACTGTGGAAAACAGTATGGAGTTTCCTCAAAATGGAACTCTCATTTGACCCAATAATCCCAGTTCTAGGAATATATCTTAAGTAATCAGAAACACCAACCAAAAAAGACTTATGCACCACTGTGTTATATAGCAGCACAATTTACAGTAGGTAAGATTTGGAAAGGACAATCTTGGGAGGACAAGATTACTAAATGCCCATCAACAGATGAGTGGATTAAAAAATGGTGGTACATCTACACAACAGAATACTATACTGCTGTAAAATAGAAAGAACTCTTGCCAAAACCGGTTTGGCTCAGTGATAGAGCGTCGGTCTGGGGACTGAAAGGTCCCAGGTTCAATTCCTGTAGGGGGCATGTACATTGGTTGCAGGCACATCCCCAGTAGGGGGTGTGCAAGAAGCAGCTGGTCGATGTTTCTTTCTCATCGACATTTCTAGCTTTCTATCTCTCTCCCTTCCTCTCTGTAAAAAATCAATAAAATATATTAAAAAAAAAAAAAAGAAAGAAAGAACTCTTACCATTGGTAACAGCATGTACGTTCATGGAGAGTATTATGCTAAGTGAAATAAGCCATTGGAGAAAGATAAATATCACATGATCTCATTCTTTTGTGGAATATAATGAACAACATAAATTGATGAACAAAAATAGATTCAGAAACATAGAAGTATTGAATAGACTGTCAAATCTCAGAGGGAAGGCAGGGAGTTTGGGGTTGGGAGTAAGATATCAACCAAAGGACTTGCATGCATGCATATAACCATAACCAATGGACATAGACAGTAGTTGGGGGAGGGGTGAAGACATGTGCTGTGGAGTGAGAGAGTCTGGGGAGACATTAATGGGGAATATAGGAGACATATATAATTCTTTAAACAATAAAGAACAAAAAAATATGAGTTCATGCTTATGAGGAATATGAAAGCAACAAATTAACAAATAAGACAAATAAACAAACAAAATTCATAGGCACAAACAACAGTATGATGATTACCAGAGGGAAAGGGGTAAGAGGTAGCAAAGTGTAAAGGGAATCAAATATATGGTGATGGAAAAATACTTTCCTTTGGGTGGTGGGCACACAATGCAATATACAGATGATATACTATAAAATTATATACTTGAATTCTAAATAATTTTAGTAGCCAATTTCATCTCTATAAATGTATCTATAATAATAAAAGTATTATATGCTAATAAGGCTGGACATCCTTCCAATAAAACCAGGGATGTGAGGGAAGTCTGGGTTCCAGGTGCCAGAGGGAAGCAAGTGCCAGCAGCAGGGGGAAGGAAGGCCTGATCTTGCACAAATTTTGTGCATCAGGCCTCTAGTTAAAAATAAAATATCAAGTTAAATAAATGTGATTTGATTTTACATCAAATTAAAGAAGAACAAAGAAAGTATCTAAACATTCTATATATTTATTTGAGCAAGAGCACGATATATTGTAAACAAGATTTATATTTATATTGATAGTCTGATTGCCTTACGTAATATGTAATGGATCTTATTCAGCCAATTAAAGGCCTGAATAGAACAAAAAAGCTGGTGCTGTCCTTATTAAGTCTCAAACTAGGACAACGTTTATTCCTGGGTTCTCTAGCATTCTGCACTTTTGTATGAAACACCATCAGCTTTCCAGGCTACCTAATTTGCTAACTCACACTACAGATTTTGAAACCTGCCAGACTCCATAATTGTGTAAGCCAATTCCTTATAAAAATCTCTTAATATCTTTCATCTATCTCTCTATCTATATCTATCTATCTATCTATCTATCCAGCTATACTATCAGTTCTGTTTCTTATTACTTATACATCAGGTTTCTTTTTATATTCCTATTTAGTAGATATTTCTACTTTGTAGAACTCAATTTTTATTTTGGAAAAACAAATCATCTTGGCAAAAGAAAATTCCCTCTGATTAATTGCCTGAAACCTACATCAGAAAATTCTTTCCCTTACCATTTTCCTTCTTGGTAAGGCAGGAGAAAAGCCACAGCCGTGCTGGGTCTTTATTTTTTCTACCATTGAGCTGTCTAGGCCGTGTTAACTTTGCAGTATTAACTAATCCATCAAGGTTGTGCTGAATAAGGAACACAGAGGCAAAGGAACCCACAAAAGCAACGTGTGACAGGAACTTGGAAACCACTTTATCCCTACTCTGCTCTTGAAGAGTGGGTATGAATGATTTTAGAGTTGCCACGGGATAGCTAACCTCTGCAATTAAACAGGTTCTAGAATCCTGCCAGGCCACCAGCAGTCCCTGAAGGACAGATGAACAGATTACTCCGACACAGTTTCACTAAGAGAGGCTAAGAAGCTATAGCAGCCAGACAGCCTCTATTGACTGCTCGTTAGGCTTTTATTAGAATTCTTATCTTTAGATACAATCAGTAGGGTGAGTAATCTTGGGAGGACTCATGTGTTTACATAGTCCTCTAGGCAAGGGCATCCAAGGATCAAGTATATGGATTCCTGTGAACATCTGGGGGTATGCCCATGCACACACTTGTTTAGAAAGGTCAAGGGATAATTAGGGATGCCGCCTTCAGCACTCCCCAGAAATCCCTTAAATTGGAATTCTGACAAATGGGGCAAGCAGTCTTCCACACACTTTTTTTTTTCCTTAAAATATTCTCCTTACAAGCTTTCCAACCAAGTCCCATACCTCCTCACAGAATCCAAGGCTTGTAATTTCAATTCGCTCAAGGCAAAGATCTGAATTTTCATTCTGCTTAAATGGAAGAGCAAGATTAAAAGAGAAAAATGAAGACAGAACTCCATTTTTCCTCAGCCTGTTTTAACAGTTAATTTTTTTTCTCAAGAGAAATATTAAGTATTTTTACCTGGAAGACATCTGTAGCTGTTTAAATGCAGGTAGGCCATCAAATGAAGTGAATGGTTAGATTTTTCCATTAGTCACAGAAAAATAAATTGTGTATCTTATTCCTCTGTGTTTCATCAAGAAATATAGGATATTCTCCAACTGGGTATTTGCTTAATCAGATCACATGCATTATTAATTCAGAAAGAAGAAAAGCTAGGACCAGCGTATTTTTGAATATTTGCAGGTGTTTCTAAACAGTAGAAACATAACACACTTGTTTACTTGCCTTCTTGTACTTCACCAATATCTTTTCTCACCTTTGAGCAGTCATTTTGGCCAGGACCAACCTTCAGCACAGAAAAAAATATTGTGAAAAAGAATTATAGTAATTTTTTTGTTTTGTTTCAGAAGAGAACTGTACATTTTTATACACAGCAAAATGCTATTTATTTGTATTTAATAAGTTTCAAACTTATAATTAAAATTATGTTCTATAAAATAATTAAAAATAAATCATTAAGTAATTTTTAGGATTTTAATTGTATTTAAACATCTAATCAAAAGTATTAAGGATTAAAAATGTCCTACAATATCCTCAACCTTTGCTTCTACACTAATTTTTACATGTGGAAACACATCTTAATGTTTCTGATACATTATTGAGAATTTTTTATTACTGACCTCACTTTGCCAATGATTGTCAATTTGTAATTTGGTTCAAAGTTAATCCACTCCTGGAGTGATAAAATTTAGGAATATCTAGTCTCAATCAAGTCTGTGCTCCTGAATATAACCTTGGTTTATTTGGTTAACTCAGGAATCTTGTTAGAGTGATTAATGTCTATGAACATGCTGGAGCACAGAGATTCATCAGTAAATACTTGTGAATGGACTTCCCCTCGCACCTTGCCTAGGCCAGAATTCAATGTGGAAACTGTAACCACTGTTTTTCCACTTAGAGGAAGGACACTTCAGATAACTCAGCTGGCCCATATTACAGGAAAATATACCAAGGAAAGTTCCAGGAAAAAGAGAACACGTTTTTAAAATATTAGAAATGAGAAAATAAATCTTAGTGGAAAGCAATATTCTCCCTGTCATCATCATAAGTTTTATAACTAAACATACACTATTTAACAAATCACAATATTACATTAGTATCAAGAGAGCTTTTCTCACCTCACTAACACTCATAATTTGCTCGACTTCCTGTGTGTATAACTAAAGTGAAAAGAGTTTTCTTTTTGTGATACTATTTTATAAATATAACATGTGTTGCATTTTGTATATTCACCACTGTTTGTGCAGGTATCCCTCATCATTGCTTTGATGAGGGAGCTTCCTTGTTCTTTGTACCTTATAGTTGGTTATTTCTAAATAAAGCTATCAAAAACTGAGAGGTTCTGTAAGAGGTAATGGGCTTCATAAGGGTTATTGGTTGAATAAAGCGGTACATCTCAGAGAAAATAATAAAATATATCATCTAGAGAATTGTCAATCCTGAGAACAAGAGCTCCAGGTGGCTAACTGGGCTCACATTTAAAAGCAGAGACTAGAAACTGTTGCTGCACAGGGACCTCTTATGCAACTGCACTTCAGGGAGAAGCCTGCACTGAACTGCCTGCCTTTTTTGTGTTCCTGCTATTCGAACCACACTGAGAAAGGAGTTCTTAAAATTGTATTTCAACCAATAGGACTAAACATTCCCTGAGCGGTTATATACTAATTAACATCTTCACCTACCAATCAGAGCAGTTCCATTCTTATCAATCAGGACAGTGCTTTTTGGACCAAACTATGAGGATTTGGAATCCCCATTTGCATGAGAATAAACCAAACAAGGACCAAGAGTGGGGACTTCTCTCTATAAATCAACTCTTCTCTATCACATGGAACACACATTCTGTTTCTGCTGAGGACTGCACTTCCCTGGCTGGAGATGTCATACTGAAGCTATCTCACCAGTCTGGAATAAAGCTTTTTCAGTGGAGCTGTCTTGCTAGTGCAGAGTGGTGAAACACTAGGGATGAGCTACACCACTAGAGCCATTTATTCCAAGTGCTTCCTTGACCCAGGAATGCCTTGGTCTTGGGCCACCTTACCCCAGAGCTGCCTCACAGCCATGTTGCTCCATAGCCATGCTGTATCATAATTGAACTATATCACTATTGGACTATCTCACAGTCATGATGTTCTACAGCTGGGCTGTATCACAATTGACATGTTCGCCTTTATCTCAACTAAGAATTTTAGTTCCTTTGGTTCTAAATAGGTATCAACTATCAAAATAGGATTCATTTTGAGATTTACAAAGAATTAGTGTCACCATAAAAATCTGTAAAGCATTGACAGATAAAACTATTTTTGGCTAGTAGTTTATAAAGTCTCAGTTTCTTTATGTTCTCTTGAGACATTTACAACATAGTCATTCATCTGCATTAATGTTACCATACACAGTCAGTTGGAGCACCAAGGAGTCTCCCCATTGGCCAAGACGGCAGCAGTGGGAGGTGCTGATACTGTGTGCTACTACAGCTAGGAACATGAATGGATAGAGACCACAATGTGCCAAAAGCTAGCGAATAATTGGATATAACTAAAACCCTTCAATCCTCACTCCTACAAAAATGACAGGTTTGAGTAGGGAGATGAGATGGTTTTTGAGAGAGAGAGAGAGATGGAGAGAGAGAGAGAGAGAGAGAGAGAGAGAGAGAGAGAGAGAGAGAGAGAGAGAGAGAGGGGGGGTTGGTGTCTGAGATAGGGGTCTGCTGCTCTCCTAGGTCCAGTGGCTCCTTTCTTTTTGCACCAGCACCTGCCACATGAGTTTGGCTTTCCTTGTGACAGGCAGCCAAACCTCTGTTTTATTCTATTGTTGTTCAATTACAGCTTTTGGTGACTCTGCTGGGACAGCGTGGGGCTTGGTAAGTCCTGGAGAACTCAGGCTGGGGTCCCAGCTGTCTATGCAAGGCTGACTCTCAGGGGAGTGGGGCTGTGGGGATTTCCCAGCAGCTGTTGAGAGCTTTTCTTGGATAATTTCCCTGCATTCTTTCTCAAGGCATCAGCCTCCTAAAATGCTTGGCTAATGAAAACAAATGGAATTTGTGGGAGAAAATGAACTCTAACACTGTGTAAGTTGAACTAGGGTGTGCAACAGAGATCCTCTTCCTGCAACTTGGCTTGGCACTTCTTAGGCTTTGTGCCACTTGGGTCTAGTTAGAGTCATTTGTGGTACTGGTTGTCAGCCTATTCTTGCTGCATGGGCTTTGTGCCATTTGAGCTTCACAGCATTTGGGTCCAGTTAGGGCTGCTTGTGATATCGACTGGCAGTAGAAAATATGTTGAGATTTGCTTGTGAACACTAATTTGGAATAATGGAATTATGGATCCAAGATTTATTTATATGTTTCCACTTTATCTGGGGTCTTACTGTAGCTATGACTTTGGGCTTGTATTTTCATGCCATCAGGAGTTGTTCTGTTTCAATCCCTGAAGGGAGCTTACTGAGCTGAGTTTTAGCAGATTGGTCCATGCCCACCTATTATCTAATGATTAAGAAGAAATTTGTTTTCCATTTTAACACTGCTTGGCCTAAGTATACTTTAGATTATGGGGAGAAATGGCTCCTAAATGCTTTCCCCTAACCATTGATGTTGATATTACACCATTGTACAGTAGGAACTGCTTTGCAAAGGGTTAGGGAAATGGAATAAAATTCCTTTGACCAGGTATTTATGTTTTTGCACAGTAAGGAGTCAGCAAACAAAAAGAACAACTTAATGACACAGAGAAGGAAATTGTCTTCAAAACTCCTCCCTGATAGTAAGACACAGGAAGAAAAGGCAAATGAGGAAATAAATTTTTTTAATGCCCTGAATCCAGGGGATCTAGGATAAGCAACAGGATAATTTCACCCACCACCTGAGATAAGGCCCAGAGGAGCAATAGCCCCATCCTGCTTTGGTGAAAGCATGTATCACCTTCAAAGACTCAGTAGAACACCAAAACTGCCCAGGGAGCAGCCCTATTTGGAGAAAGACAATTGCCTTTGAGGCAGTACCCTATAGGTAGAGTAAACCAGGAAGACCAGTATACTATTGGGCCTATACTCTATTTTCTTTTCTTTTTTGAAAAATATATTTTTCTTTATTTTAAAGAGAGAGGAAGGAAAGATAGAGAGATAGAAACATCAGCTACCTCCTGCATGCCCCTCCTCCCCCCTGGGGATGGAGCCAACACAGCCTGGGCATTTGCCCTGATTAGGAATCTAACCAGTGGAATCTTGGTTCATGGGTTGATGCTCATCTACTGAGCCACACTAACTTGGCTTATACTCTATTTTCTACTTCAGATTTACTAAATTGGAAGAATTCCAACTCCTCATATTCTCAGAGGAATTCTCAGAAAATGGCAGATAAGAACACTTCCATTTTTTCCACTCACCACTTAAAATAGGCAGATGTATAGGCTTTTCTTAACATCCTAATAATAGCAGATGAAAAGTTGCTAGTTATAAATAAGGCTAATGAGGAGGTTCATTGCCTCTATCAAGAAAATCCCATTAGATTCCCAACCCAGCAGGAGCCCAGCAGAGATCCAAATAGTGTGGACCTGGACTCCTTAGAAGATCTCAGAAGGTGCATATTGGAAGGGCTTAAGCAAGGGGTGTCTAAACAAAAGAGCCTGAATATGATATGGGCTGTTCAAAAGAAACCAAACAAAGTACTTTCTGAATTTTTAGAAAGGATTCATTAGGCCTATTGAAAGTACACTGATGCTGATTTACAGACACAGAAAATGTCCAGATGGTAAATATGAATTTTATTGGGCAAAGTGCCCTAGTTATCAGAAGGAAGCTCCAATGTTTACATGTGACATTAGGAATGAATCCCTCCCAGCTGGTGCATATAGCCTTTAAAGTTTACCCTGTTCAGGAAATAAGGAAATTAAAGCATGCTCCAATTTTCTTAAAAAGAAGTATCGGTAAGACATGAAGGAAAAGGGAGCAAGTAATAAACCTACTGCAAAGGGGAAGGCCATTGGAGAAAGAAATGCCCAGGATTCAAAAAGTAAATAAATAAAAAGTGTAGAAACCCTTGTCAAGAAATGTCATAAAAGACTGCCAAGTCTGGAGGCTTAGGGGCTCTGCTAGACACCTCCCCACCTATGACTGTTTCTCCACAGGAACCCTCAGTACAAACTGCATGTGGAGAACAAGCTAATTGACTTTTTTTAAAAATATATTTTATTGATTTTTTACAGAGAGGAAAGGAGAGGGATAGAGAGTTAGAAACATCGATGAGAGAGAATCATCAATCAGCTGCCTCTTGCAGACCTCCTACTGGGGATGTGCCCGCAACCAAAGTATAATACATAGTACATCTTTGTCACACCCTGCTTAATTATTAGTTTACTCATCTCAAAACTATGGATGATACAGGTTTCTGTTCCACAAAATAATGGCAATGATCTAAAAAGATAATGTATTCTAGCTTTTTATCTATCTTGTGTATAATATATAACCATAAATTGCAACATTAATATTAATACTATTACTACATTTTAATTATATTATTGTTCAATTGTATTTTTGCATCCTCCTCCTATATAATAAAGAAATAATATGCAAATTAACCATCATTCCAACACACAAGATGGCTGACCCCACATGGTCAAAGATAACTGCCCCCATGTGGACATAAGATGGCTGTCACAAGATGGCCAGCAGGGGAGGGCAGTTAGGAGGGACCAGACCTGCAAGGGAGGGCAGCTCGGGGAGGACAACGGGGACCAGGCCTGCAGAAGAGGGCAGTTGCAGGGGAACAGGCCTGCAAGGGAGGGCAGTTGGGCGTGAC